GATCTGTGTGGTTGCCGCGCCCTGTCACCCGCTTCCTGTGAGATCGTAGAGGATAAGAGATTAAGACGTATTCCGATATTAAGGAAATGTGGTTAGAAATATGATAAGGAAATCAACATAAATAAAGGCACTTTCAGGCAACGAGGGGCTTATGCGACTCGGATTACAGGGAAATGCCACTACTTGTAGTCCTGCTTTTAAGCGTAGGGACAAGCAAAGATATTTTATAATAAAATGAGGTTATGAACCTGTTATACTACAACTATAATGCCCGTATTTCGAAGGGCTTCGGCAGATTTTTAGTCGAGAATGGCCGGAGGACCGAAGGACCTACCTGAAGGAGGCTGAGGTTCTCGCTGGAGGGGACGGTGATGGTGAGCTGCGGCTTGGCCCTCCTGGCGCCCAAGCTGCTGGTGCTGGCGGGGCTCTCTTCCTCTCTCGGGCCCACCCAAACCCCCCCGGTCTCCCACTCCCCCTCGTTCCCTTCGAGACACAGCCCGACGGCGCCCCCTGGGTCGACGGCCTCCCCTACCAGACCCTCGTAGTCGACCTCGTAATCCTGTGAAGCGATAGGAAATATGGGTTACCACCATGAAAATAAATTATGGAGAAAGAGTGATGTCATTCTCCGATTTTGATTAACGGGGAATGTCAATGAATAAAGAAACATTTTGAGTAAAATGAAAATTGAAGTCATTAAAAAAACGGAATAGTAAATAGCGACTCCTGTTTCGTCAGCAGGGCACGAGCAGAAAACATCAGGGTACGCGCCTTCTATCTTCGCGGGTCGCACCTGCTGCGTCTGTTACACGCTCGAGCCGCGAGTCTCCTTTTCCTCCTCCGTCCTCCAACTGCCTCGCCAGCTGGAGTACCGGGTCACGCGAGGGAGGAGAGGGAGAGAGGACACTCGGGGGGACAGAAGCGAGACAGAGGAAGCGAGCGTGAAGCAAACCTGAACAGATCGGGCGCATTTCACTGGACAGTTCTAACGACTTTTTTTTTCTCTCCCTTTGTCTGCTCCTCACCCTCATTCCCGACCGTCTCTCGACATCTCCTTGCAGATGTGCGCCAGATGTTCATGTGTTAATCATAGGCTATATATGGACAGAAAATGTAACGAGGAATGGGACATCAAACAGCGCCGTAGATGAGTATTTAGTTGCTTCAGCTAACAGTTCGTCCGCAATAACTGTCTACTTCGTCATTCGTGTTCGAGCTAATGAATGTTTACACTGAATGCTGATCAAATTCATACACCTTAAGGATTTTTCATTCAGATATTGCAGATAATGGCGTTTACATTGCATTTGGTCAGAAACGGTAAGCAGGAAGTATAATATTGTAAATGACTATTATTCAACTAGAAGGTTGATGAATTGTATTATTGATCTATCACGAGGCTCTTGTTATTTTTAATATAACATATACCATATAACTAAGACTAGTAATGATATAAAACATACATGTTATTAAGATGTAAAATATTTACCAACACTTTTATAACCACAACTCCCTGATCTTGAAAATCATACGAATGATAATGATGATAGATGATGGTGAGAGTAGAGTAAAATAAAGACCTTCAGAATTAAGCGAATAATGGTAATGATGATAATCAAAACGGCAATAACTAATCTAGACCACAGATGCCTGACGATGTTATTAATGATAAGGATTATAATGATAAGCATGATGGGGAGATTACGATAGTGACTGACAATATTAATAATAGAATACGGAATATTACCAATAACAATGCTGATTGTGGCAATGCAGTATAACGAAATAAAATGGCTGTTATAAATAGCAATTACAGATCTAAGGATAATTCCAGAGGGAAACGATGTAAAAAAGAAAAAAAAAAATAATATATATATATATATATATATATATATATATATATATATATATATATATATACATATATATATACACATATATATATGCATACATACACACACATATATACACACATAGGTAAATAAAAAGACAGAGAAAAATATTAAATAGACACTGATCAGAATAAAAGATTGAAGAACAAAAATGAGGGAAGTGTATTACTTCACTGCGCAGCACTGAACACAGTCACTAGAAATGCACGATTTCTTGCGTTCATTAATTCTCTCTCTCTCTCTCTCTCTCTCTCTCTCTCTCTCTCTCTCTCTCTCTCTCTCTCTTATATATATATATATATATATATATATATATATATATATATCCATCTATCTATCTATCTATCTATCTCTATCTATCTCTATCTCTCTCTCTCTCTTCTTGCTTTCTCTATTTTCTCCACCTTCCTCTCACTCTCCCTGTTTCTTTCTCGTCCCCATCTCTCTCTCACTCTACATTCCTTCTCTTCTCACCCATTTTTCCCTCTTCCTATCCCTCTCCAAGCCCTCTTCTCTCTCCTCCTCCTTCCCTTCCTGCTCTCCGTCTTCTTCTCTCTCTTCTCCTCCCCAACCACCTTCCTACTCTGTTTCTTCTCTCCTCTTCCTCTCTCCTTCTTCCTCTCCCTCTCTCCTTCCCTCCTCTTCCTCTCTCCCTCTCTCCTTCCTTCCTCTTCCTCTCTCCTTCTCCCTCTTCCTCTCCTTCCCCGTTTTCCTCTCTCCTCCGTCTCCCTCTCTCCTTCCCTCCTCTTCCTCTCTCTCCTCCCTCTCCCTCTCGCCTTCCCTCCTCTTCCTCTCTCCTTCTCTCCTTCCCTCCTCTTCCTCTCTCCTTCTCTCCTCTTCCTCTCTCCTTCCCTCCTCTTCCTCTCTTCTTCTCCCACTCCCTCTCCCCTTCCCCGTCTTCCTCTCTCCTTCTCCCTCTTCCTCTCTCCTCCCTCTCCCTTTCTCCTTCCCTCCTCTTCCTCTCTACTTCTCCCTCTCCCTTTCTTCTTCCCTCCTCTTGCTCTCTCCTTCTCCCTCTCCCTCTCCCCTTCCCCGTCTTCCTCTCTCCTTCTCTCACTCCCTCTCCCATTCCCCTTTTTTCTTCTCTCCCTCTCTCCTCTTCCTCTCTCCTTCCCTCCTCTTCCTCTCTACTTCTCCCTCTCCCTTTCTACTTCCCTCCCCTTCCTCTCTCACCCCTCTCCTTCTTCCTTTCCTCCCTCCTCTCCTTCCTTCTCTGTCCCATCCTTACCTTCCATCTACCGTCCCACATGACAGGAGTAAACAAGCATCTTTGTGAATATCGGGCACTTTTTTCCCTTCATTCGCATCTGCCTAAAACTTCAAAAGCTGGTGAATCACCTTGTCCCAGAGAGAGAGGGGGGGAGGGGGCGGAGGGAGGGAGAGAGAGAGAGGGAGGGAGGAAGGGAGGGAAGGAGGGAGGGAGGGAGAGAGAGGGAGGGGGGGGCGGAGGGAGGGAGGGAGGGGGATAGGGAGGGAAGGAGCGAGGGAGAGGGAGGGAGGGAGGGAGGGAGAGAGATAGATAGATAGATAGAGAGAGGGAGGGAGGGAGAGAGAAACAGAGAGATAGATAGAGATAGAGATAGAGAGAGAGAGAGAGAGAGAGAGAGAAGAGAGAGAGAGAGAGAGAGAGAGAGAGAGAGAGAGAGAGAGAGAGAGAGAGAGAGAGAGAGAGAGAGAGAGAGAGAGAGAGAGAGAGAGGGGCGACATGGAGGGAGGGAGGGAGAGAGAGAAAGAGACAGAGAGAGAGGGTGAGGGAAGGGCAGAAAGAAAAAAAAATCAACGAAGAAAACGATAATTGAAGATGACGCGTAAAGGCAATCAAATACGCAGAAAGAAAAGTTAAAATGAATATGACGAAGACAAAATACGTAGTTAGATATAATAGCAAACTGAAACACGGAGAGAGATAAAAAGAAAAAAAATACAAAAATAGACTAAAAGTTAAAGCATCAAATTACATTAAAATAAAAAAATAAAAAAAATAAAAATACGGTGAAAAAAATAAGACGGAGAGAGAATGAGAAAGATCGAGAATAAGTGTAAAGAAAAGAGGATAAAGAACAAGAGGTGGATAAGGAAGAGGAAGCGAAGAAAAGGGAGGAGAATAGAATAGAAGTAATGATGAATGAGGAAGAAGGCGAGGGGAAGGAGAGAGATGAAAAGGAGGAGGAAGAAGAGGAGGTGGGGAGGGAGAGGAGGAGGAAGAGGAAGTGGAGGAGGGAGAGGGAGAGGAGGTGGAGGAAGAAGAGGAGGAGGAAGAGGAAGTGGGGGAGGAAAAGGAAGAGGAGGAGGAAGAGATGGAGAAGGAGGAGGAGGAGGTGAGGGAGGGAGAGGAAGAGGAAGAGGAGGAGAAGAAGGAGGAGGAGGAAGAAGAAAAAGAAGAGGAGGAGGAGGAATAATAATAAAAAATATGAATAATAATAAGAAGAAACAGAAAAGGTAGAGCATACAGAGGAAAAGGATTAGAAGAAAAGAACGAAAGAACGAAAGAGAGGAAGAGGAGGAGGAAAGAGCAAGAAAAGGAAGAAGAGTAAGAAGAGGAGGTTAGAAGCCCCTTAGTATGCAGAGGCGACGGTGGGCGTGATTCAGAGCTTGGCAGGTGCTGACGCCTACCTCCCCCTCCCCCCCCTTCTCCCTTCCCCTCCCCCCATCCCCTCTCCCCACACCTGCGCCCCACATGTGCTTACCTGGGCGGGAAGCCATCCATTTGGGGGGGAGGGGGGACGTGGGGAGGGGGGTAAAGGGGGGGGGGCGTGGGTGGGGGTGGTGTCTTGTGAAAGCAAATAACCTCCGTGGATGTGGTTTTATGCAATTGCGAATCACGTGTTATGCTATAAGGAAGAAAAAAATAAAATAAAAAAGATAATGTGATGTAATGTGTATAATTCTTACGTTGGGAATATGTGCCATGTAAATAAATTCTGGCGAAGGAAAATGTTTAGTCATTCACTTTGGCTTGTAACGAAGGCTGTGTTCATCTCACTATATGAAAAAAAATAAAATAAAATAAAAAACAGGAAAATGAAATGAAAGTTCTGATATACATTACTTCGATGATGATAATGATGAGGTAAAAAGAATAAATTCAAATGCTTTAAAAATATGTTG